GCAAAACTATTAAATTGCTAACTTTCAAGTCAATGGAAAGACGTTTTCATGCCACAAATATGTCTCTTTCAACCAATTTTTTTAATCATATTATAGAGGACCAGTGTATCAAAAATTTTATATTGAGTTAGGGTGGAAAAGCAATATGTTTATTCGTGTTAAAATAACGTTCAGATAATATGCATGTTATTGTTTACGATGATATAATTTTATCAAAATGGTAGTAATTATGGTAGTTGATATAGAAATATAACCGTGCATTCTATTTATAATCAATCATGTTATATAATGTTATATTTAATACGTGCACTGTATTTACATGCAAAAAATCTTTTGTTTATCAGGCACGACACATTCATCTATCTCAGAATTATTTAAACGTAAAAGTTATAAATATATCGGTTAAAGCTGAATGACACGTACAACACTTTGGTAAATAAAATCAGCTTACTACAAAGACACGAAAAAGTTTCTAAAATGATAAAAATTTAAATATCTAAAAACTTATCTTAAAAAAAAAATTATTTTAAAAAAGATTTAAATATCTAAAAGTCTATCTTAAAAAGTTTTTAAAATAATAAAAAATAATAATTTGAAATATCTCAAAGACTACAAGTCTTTTAAAAGCTATTGTAAAAAGAATCGCGTTATCGTGGATTTATATTGCTTAATTTTTGAGTTAATCTCTATCTAATCTCCATCAGAAATCAGGTACAAAATGAAAAAAAACAAAATTACTTTAAATATTTATGATATAATGCAAACTTTTATAGTCATCTATAATTTTATTAGTATAAAGAGTATTTGGTAACTGTAAGGCTTTCATATGTATCTATTTAATATAAAAATGATTATACTTATTAATTTAGAAAAATCATATCGATTTCGTTATAATATATACAAGAACAGTCATTTCATCGTTATTACATATACAAATAAATAAAAGAGTGTCTTTTCCTATTTTTCTTATAAATCTATCTCTATCTAATCTAAATCTTTCTTATAAAACTAAGAGACATGTTAAAAGTTAATTGTATTAATATTCAATGTCTCGATACAATAATAAGCTTATTTCTTTATGTATATAACAAAAAGAAAATGTTATATACATAAACATGTATTCATAGATGTATGCTGTTATCTCTAGTGTTATATAGTGCTATAACAAAAAAATCTTTCCTTGAAAGATTTAACGATATGTGCAATCAATCACAGATGTACGTCAAATTTGTAATCAAGAAATTTTGCGAATTGTAATTATTTTTTAAACTAAAATTAAACTAGTTTTAACGATGTTTCTTACATTTGATTGAAAAAACACGACATTGCATTAAACACGATATAATTAAATATAAAATATAAAAAATATAATAAAATAAATGATATAATGCGAATAAAGCTAATTATAGAAATAATAACTTTAATAAATTCTGTACATTTGAATATACTTATGAGTTTAGTTCTGGTTTATTTATATTTGTTCAATAAATAAATATAAGAAACATATTTTTCAGAATTTGTACAACTTTGACTATTAAATGCCTATAAAATGTTTTATATTATTATCGTTCATTATTATTTTATTTTATAAAATTATTATTATAATTATTATATATTATTTTATTTTATTATCATTTACATTATTATCCTTTATTATTTATTATAAATATTTTATATTGTCTTTTTTAAAACATTTGAAGCTTGAAGATGACTGACTAATTATATTGTCCAGTTTCACTTCGAAAAATATTAAAAATGAAAAATTGAATTCACGATATCGTGAATCGATTGCAGTCTCAGCGAAATGCATTACGAATTTCTCTTATCGACTCCTAACGCGTATAAATTTTTTCTTGTAACGTCAAAAAATTCAGTGACGTAATAATATCAGATGATCTTGAAAATCGAGTGGATGTCAACGATTTGGGCCTCATCTTGAGGCCCAAAAGCCAATGGAAAGGGAACGAAGAAATCTTCCCTCAATTTTCCATCGGCTCAGAATAGTTCAGGGAACTCAGGGACCAGAGAAAAGTCATTTGACCTTCAATCGATGCGGATCGTCTCCTGAGTATTCTCTGACAGAATAACATTGCGAACAGACAGTTTCCAAACAGTTCAGTCTATTTATATAAAAGATGTGACTACTTCTTCTGGCATAACTTTGTTATTATACTTAATACTATAGTATTCTACACTGTGTAATATTACGTAGGATTCTAGTAGGATATACAGTATATAATAATATAATAGTATAATATATAATATATATAGTAACGAATAGTATAGAATAATATATAGTAAGAATATATAGTAAATATATATTAAATAGAACTCTAGTAGGAGTGAAAATAAAAAAAAAAAAAGTCATATAAACATATTCTCAAAAATTCTTCGTAGTAGGAGTTGTAATGAAAATTCGAAGTAAGAGTTGAAGATATTTGCCGACAAGAAGTTGAATGGAATCCGAATGAATTCTAAATATAAAATTCAAGAAAACTGTACGAAGTCCAAAATACAAGTCGGACGCACGCATGAAATCATTTCGAAGTCCAAGTCCAATTAATACGAAAATTTCGTGTAATGTATAATTCTGTAATATATGTATGTACAACTTTGAAACACTGAATATACGAAAATACTGAAAACTAAGGCCTAAAATTCCTCCTCTTCTAAAGTCTTAGGAAAGAAAAAAGAAACATTAGTTCTTGGAAAGGGAGTTGTCTCTTTTGTGTCAGTATGAAAAGACGGTGAAATCCAAACATCAAGCTGTGTCGTTCCAATCCTTAATGCAAGGTCATCGACCATGTATTAAAAGAAAAATTGGGAAAAACCGACCTGCAACCTTTCACCTTGGTGTTTGGTTTGTACGTTTTACGATATGTTAATCAGCTACTGAAAGCTGAGAAATGTTTTTTAAATGTCTGTGAAGATGTTCCGGCCATGTGTTAGATTTTTTGCTTTCAAGTTTAATTAAAATTTATTAATATAATTATTTTTTTATTAAATGTAAATATATTAAATAATATAAAATTAATAATTTTATTCAACATATATATATTAACCATATCGAATTCGAGCTAAAACATCTCGAATTATTACTAATAATATTAAATTAATTATATTCACTAAATTAAATAAAATATTTCAATAAAAAGATCATAAAAAATTATAATAAAAATTATTCTTATAAATAATAAATTTATATATTCAGATAAAAAAATATAAATAAATAATCTACTATAATATTCTAAATTAAATCCCGAAACCAATTCTGATTCACTTTCAATTAAATCAAAAGGAATTCGATTTAAATCAATTAATAAACTAATAATGAATATTAAATATAAAGAATATAAAACAAATAAAAAACTTTAAATTTTCAATCTTTTAATAAATCCTATAACAGCTGATTTTGGCACGTTTATGACAGGGATTCGTGTAAATTCTAAGCACGAATAGGGTATTGAACAGCTGCTAGCCCACAAGTGGGATTTTCAGGTAAATGGTAAATTAGATTAAAGATTAAAGAAATGGCAAGTAAACCGTACAGCCGTCTAAAATCTAAAAATAGGAATACTGTTTCTTAACGCATTTGCTACTACCCCACGGAAAAGAGACTACAAGAACAATCCATTATTTGTTTCTCGAATTTCTGCAAAATTTTGTCAAATTACAAAAATTCCCAACTTTCATTCGGATAGTATTAAAATTTAAATAAATAAAATGAGTACGTGTAAATCTAATTTTTCAATGTGCCACAGACTTTCCATGTGACGTTGGACTATATGGATAATTTCGTTCGTTTTTTTATTCAGAGAGGACAAAAATTAACCGCCATCACATGTATGCATGAAGCTGGAAGTCGATGCGTTACAGATATGCGTAGCGTTAAGGATCTTGTTGCATAGAAAAGAAGGCAGTACGACAGTTACGATGGGAGAACGGTAGAATGTTAGCCTAGAAGAACCATCTCTGGAACATTCACGCGTCATTTTCCTAACATATACATATGTTTAACCTCTTGCGCTAGTAACTGGTTCGCGGACCATAACGAGTGACCAAACCGTCATACAATAACTAGTCTTCTTTTTGAATTCATCGGTATAACCCACTGGATAGAAATTACTAAGGAATAATAAATTTATTATTTGTTTTGCTTGGATCATATTTCAATATACTTAAAACTGAGAAAATATTGCAATTTTGGGGCGAAATATTTTCGACGTGCGTGGCACGTCATTCCAGCGCAAGAGGTTAAGGATCATGGTACATTGTTCACTGCTTTTTATACAATTTCAAAAATAGCCTAGGTCATGCACATAATCTATAGCATAAACCTAGTCTCGAAATCTCTATTTGTGAAAAATGATCTCTAGTTTGTATGTCCTAACTTAAACCTGCACTTTTTAACTGAAACCCAACGGAAAAATTCCTAACCTAAACACTCCTGTCACAATCGAGGTACAAGAAATTCCTAACCTAAACACTCCTTTTATAATCTAAGTACAAGAAATTCATTCCTAACCCAACCGCGCAAACGAAATACAACGAAAATGCATCGTCTTTATTGCATCAATTATCAGTCAACATTGCTTTTTTGAGGTTATGTAACTCACAGTTATTAAATAGGTATCTCATTTGCAACATTGATACAAAGAATTGATTAGAACTGAATTCAAATAAATAATAATAAAAAATAAATATATAAATAAATAATAATAAAAATAAATAAATGGACAAATTTGTACACCTGTAAAATAACGTGTACAAAATAAATAATTCGATTGTACGTATAAAATAGAAGGCATGTTAAAATTAAACTGCACTTAATTTCAGGAACTTATCGTTCAATTATCTTATCTTTCACATTTCACGTCTGCCTCCGTCACCTTTCCACCTACTTTCTTATTCAGAGTGGTATTCCTGTAGCCGAGCTATTTACATTCGATTTCGTACAGCAAGACCAACCCGATCAATAGCATAAATCATGCATATCCTACCTCGGTTAAGGAGCAACGTTCTGATAACCCTGATATAAATCTTGCCGTACTTCGTTCTGGCAACGTGGAACAGAAAATCCGAGACGATTCCATCCCCCTCGTGAATATCGGTTTCCGCCAGAATTTCTTTCAACGCCTGCACCCGCTCCTCCGGCGTGCTCTCGTCGCACGACGACGACTTGTCACCCAGGCACTCGACCACGCTGAGATCTTCCCAATATTCGGGCATATCGTCCTCGGACTTCCTCGAGGTTTCGATATCTAGGAAACCGGACGTGTCTAAACCCGCGTACGAGACGTCCAACGCCAAATTCGCGAACGTCGGCGTTCGGTCCAACGGCGAGCTTGTTTCCAACCTCCAGGAACAGTTTTCGCAATTTTTCACCATCCTGTAGGAAGCTTGCGAGCCGGCTGCCCCAACGGGACTTCCTGCGTCGGTGCTCTGGGAAGAACGTTCCTTCGAATTTTCGTACATTTTCTGCGAGATGCCCCAGTTCTCCCTCGGTTTCCAAAAGTATCTCTCTTTCAAATCCTCCGGCAGATTTTCGTTTATACCAAACAGCCGTTTGCTCTCGCACGCTTCCGGCGAGGTCGTTTTCAAATCCCAAACAGTTTGCGAATTACGTTGTTCCATGGCGTTGCCTCTCCTCCACGGGAAATTTCCTGCCTCCGTGTGTACGACGTTTCGTCCCGAAGTGGCTTCGTTGCTCCTCGAAAGGAAACTATCGCGGCAGATCTCGACTGTTTGCCAAGACGAATTTCTTTGGCTGTCCCTCTCCGCAACGCTCTCGGAGTGCTTCTTTTCCGCTTCGACGATGCTTCCTTGCAGGTAGTCCTTCGACCAATTTTTAATCGGCTCTCGACCGAACACATTGTGAATTTTGTCAGTCGTTTTCGAAGAATGGTCTTCCTTCATTTGTCCTTGACAGCTTGCTCTTGCACATGAAGCCTTGTCTGTGTTCCGATTAAATTTCCAACACGGCCTCGGATTCTGCTCGTTGCTCATGTTCCATAATCAGGTTCTCGATCTCAGAACGATCGAGATTACGCGCGGAGGTAACTGATCTGTCGCTGTAAAAGTCCTTTCATCCAATTAGCATACTTTCATTAGTTTCTCCCGCGTCGATGAATCCTTGCTTTCTTCATTTGTTTGTTCAATTCCGATGCCTGTTAAGTAATAATGTTGCAAATAATGCGAGTTTCAAAGCGACGAATCGTACGAACAATTTTCGTAAATTAATGCCGACAGTAACGACGAAAGCGCGCTACTAATATTGCCTTTCGTATCTGCTCATGATTTCTTTGAACCGATATTGTATCACCTTTCTTATCAAAATAAATAAAACGTGCATATACATACACCATTTGTTAAAAATACTGGCGTATCATCGAAAGTATCGCGCAATATTGTTTACAAAACAATCGATATGAAAATAATCGTAATAAACTTGAAATACGTGACTGATTAGCTGATTGTAGTCTATATAATCACTGATATTATTATCTTTATGAACACTGTAAGGTTAATTAGAGTTTCAATACAAAATTAATTAACCATGAATTAGACCATAAAGAATGTTTTAGACAGGTTGAACGAATTCGAGTATTGAGTATAACATTTAATATATATGTATAATATATAACATTCTTTAATATATATATATATATAATAAAAATAGAAAAAAAGATTTGTATCAATAAAATTCAGATAAATATCAACTCTTTAGGTAGTTATTTATAGGTTGTTGTATAGATAATCTTGCAATCAATAATAAAATGATTGATTTACTTATTAGATGTTCAAGGAAGATAACTTGTTACAATGTATGAATAAATATATTAAATGGAATATGTTTATTTAAAGACATATTATTGATTTGTTGTGTGCTCCTCATTCAGTATTAAGTTTTTAGATTTCTAAGAATTTTGAGCATTCGAAGGGTTATTAATTAAATTATTTATTAAAGATTCGTTTTTCCTGTTAAATATTATATGCATATATTGCAAATACATATTTGCATATTGTATATTTATTATTATCATATATATAATATATCAAAACATTTAACAGTATTAAATTAAAATATATTAATGTCAATAAAGGTGCACTATGGAACTACATTTAGACAATCTTTCTTCTCACATTAATACAAAGAACTTACATTCAAATTTAGTCCATCCTTGTACATACAAACTATTACAAACTATCCTTACAAAGTTAGTAATTATGATAAAGATTTTTGTAGACGCAAACATATTTCTGAGAATTTCTTTTGCGAGATAAAAGATTGGAATCTGAAACAAAACAGTGCAATGTGACTTTTATCTGTGATTGTTACACACGAACTAATAACAAATTAAATTAATTAAATAATATAACACTACGTTAGTTTCAAACGATAATCATCGGCAGTATGAATATTTCAATAACTGTTAAAACGTAAATATCCCATGAATATTCCACAATCTATTTCAATCCGTTTCTTATATATCTTGCAATTCTAAGAACGAGTGAGACTCGAGTGTTATAATGCGGAATATCCGCGCACGCTGATTAAACTATGGGCATTAAATTGGGAGCAATAAATTGGTGTGAAAGAGCCCAGACGCGTAGTTTCAAAAACAATAAACCATTATACATATCGCATTTTGCTTCTGGCTGCCACTTAACTCGTTGATTATTTCTATGAGAAAGCGTTGACCTATATGAAAGAAAATGCGCCTGAAGAATTACGCGGTTTTTTCTTTTTTTTTAAATAAGGAAAGCTTAATTGATCGTCTAACGATTGTTACGTGATTCTATGAGAAAATCGAATATGGAACTTGAGAAATTCCTCTCATATCGAACTATGAACCAATTAGTTACCTAACTTTGATATACATAGATTTGCAAAGAAAAGGAAAAAAAAAGGGATATTGTAACGAATGTAAAACAAACATTACTTACTAAGTTAAGTAATAGTACGCAATTCTAAGAAACATACTATACTCTTTTGCCTCGTGCAAATGGAACGATAGCACTAATAGATGACAAAAAGAAATCCTATTAGGTGAAATTAAATGGTTTCGAACCATTCAGAATCGCATTTTACTCGGATTTTAACGTCACCGTCATTTATCAAAGCGAAACTATAAATCCTTTTATGCACTAACTTTAAAATATTTTTTTATTCTAAACTGAACATGTACGATGATATTTAATAATACGTATGTTTTGATTCAGTAAATATTTTAATAATTCTGTATAAAAAAAAGTATGCTAATTAAATGCATAAAACAATCGGGGCGCATCGTTGATTAGTATTTATATTTTTATTTAAGCTACCAAATCACGAAAAAGACCTCCATATTCAGACAAATTGCACAATTAATTTTATTATTAACCTCTTGCGCTAGAATGACGTGCCACGCACGTCGAGAATATTTACCCGAAAATTGCAATATTTTCTTAGTTTTAAGTATAGTGAAATATAACCTAGGCAAAACAAATAATAAATTTATTACTTAGTAATTTCTATCAATCTATAATCTATTTCTAATTATTCTATAAGGTTTGGTTACTCGTTATGGTCGGTGAACCAGTTACTTAGCACAAGAGGTTAAGAAAACATTCTCTCTATCCGTGTTCGAACGAACAATTTATTTTGTTTTGCAATAATTTTATTATTTTTAATCGCAAAATACAATCGTTCTGCAATTTCGTTCCCGCCATTTTTCACATCTTTAGTACCATAACCTCAGCATATCAATCTGTTATGTTGTATACTAATAATTTAATGCTTGGAGGATTCACAAGTAAAATTAAAACAAATTTGAATATTTCTATTTAATTTTATAATTTTTGTCTAGAAATTCTAAACAAAGAATATCGCCGAAATTTGCCATATTATCGGCAATGTTTACATGTTTACAAAAATAAAAGATTGTTAAAATTATATAACTTGATATGTTAATTGCAATATTAAATAATGAGAAGTATAAAGCGTAAAAAAGTAAAATTCAAAACAGAACAGATTTTTGTTGAGCGTAGTGTGCATAACCTAACAAACGTTATTTAAATTATAAATAAAACGAATTTTAACTTAATTTAATATCACTCAATTCGATTAGGCTATTAATGATAGACACGTTTTACACAAATTTTTTAAACTTTTGTTGTAAAGTATAAGAAAAATGTTTTTATAAAACCTAACCTAACTTTATCCGAATACACATGCTTACAAATATGTACAATTTTCTCCAAGCATTAATTACACTATTATGTAATTAACCTTTATAATGTATATTTTCGTAACGCGTTTCATAAAACTTTAATGAATTTATTAACAAAAATATTCAAACTAATTTATCTCAATAATTAAACAAAAATGTTATTCTTAAAAAGTCGCTTTAATCTAACTTAATCAAAATACTATTGCCAATTTCCCCCGACTTAAATTAGAAAAATATTCTGCAGTTTTATTTATTTATTATTCAAAATGGTATGCTACAATTGTAATTAAGAATCTTGTGACAAATCTTTTCATTATGAAAGTGTAAAGTTAATCAAATCTATTTACTTTTGTGCTCGATAGTATTACCGAAAGCAGTGGAAGAACATTATCTACAACATGTACCGCAGTAAGCTGCATTATGATTGAAATATTATTAAAGCTCGGTGTCACATCATCATACAGCATCAAAACGATGTGTAAAATGTGTAATAAAACACCGAAAGCAACTTTAATCCTGAGTTTCCAATCAAGCAAAATTTATGAATAAGCAGTACGTTTTCAGAATTTCTGTTGTCGACATTGATTTACGAAAAGTACCTACGATTCGTTTCAACTGAAATTTTTGTACAACATTATGTAAAATGTTATATACGTACATCGCAACGATGTGAGGAAAAAAAAAGTAATGCAGTAGATTTCGTGTAATACGCTGTGACGAAGAACACGAAAAAAAAAGATCACCACACGACCCCTCACTTACGATTGCCACTTCTTAGGAACCAGTTCACTTTCCTTCGATAAACACTGAGGTAAGTCAGTTCGTTTACCGAAAGATTAGGAAAATTCTTTTGCCACACAATATGATAATAGAGACGCACACCATCCGTCCAACGTGGAGGACGAGCGGCGACTAAAGCACACAGCTATGGATGTTCCAGCAGAGCACTGTTGGGTCAAGCGCTCTGATTGGCTGAGAATCTTTCCGGGCGGCTCTTACGATTGGATACTCAACAAATGAGCGCCTAATTGCATGTGACTTGTTATCAAGTCGTAAAATATTTTAAATAAAGAACAAACGTATTTTCGAGTATCTGATCCAATGTACTTTGTTGCAAATACGGTTTTAGTAAAATGGACGTTTCATTCAAACCCTACATTGCAAGACGAAAAAACTAATACAATGAAGATGTCCGGATTTTCCTAACGAATGTATACAGATTATAAGAATTGATATAATAAAAATATTCAGTTGGATATAAATTTGCTGATAAAATTGTATAACCTCAAAAACGAATGTTTGTTTCTTACAATAAATTATTATTACTTCTTTCAAAATACTTGTAATCACAGTTGTTCCGCAACATTTGAGAGTAACATAAAAGTATCTTTTTCATGTTACTTGTTCAATGCATTGATTGTTTTCAATTAAAAGAGCATATATATTTGAAAAAAAAATAATCTCAGTGAAGTTTTATTTTAGAAATGAAGTAAGGTACCAAAGAATCTATAAAGCTAAAAATAAGTACAGAAAGGATCTGAACAATATACATGCTTTTATTCATAAACATATGAATTCAGCGAATTTGGATAAGTGTTCATAAACAAAAATAGCGGGAAATAAAACATTCAAAGAAATAAATAAATGAGTAATATTAATGTAAAAGAATATTATAGCAAACAAATGATAAGAAACAAACGATAAAGGTAGAATTTTATCGTTGAAATTATTGGCTTATCGATAAAAAAAAATTGATCGTAAATATGATTTAAGACGATAAACAATTCGCAATCTTTTGTGCGAAAATTCTAAGGTGAAATATTAGAGAATTAAGAGTTGGAAAGAGTAGTAGTTTCTTGACTGTAAATTTCTGCACGAGATCTTTGAAGGAATAGCGAAGAAAATTTGCCATTTTTAAATTTATTAAACAACCCATTAAAATACTCCTTTCCATACTATGTTATTTGTCAAATTACCAATTTCTTTAATAAATCAAGACATTCATGACATTTAATGTTGTACCAACAGCCATATAAGAATATTTATTTATATATATAAGGCCACATGTTTAATGCGGAAAAAGCCGGAATATATGAAATGATATAAAGAATAACTTACTGAAATAATTGAGAGTTTCCCGGATTTGGTCCGGTGACAATTTTAAGTCAGTGTCAACTGATTTTAGGGCCGGTGAAGGAATAAACCAATCAGCGTTTTCGTATCCTGCGAATAATAAACAATCAGTTGTACAAATATTTATAGACTAATTATCTATAATATTTAAATGTAAAGAATACAAAACATCAGATATTATCTATAATATTTAAATGTAAAGAATACAAAACCCAGATTTATATACCAACAATAACATTGTATATATCTATTTCAAATATAAAATAATCTATTTTGAATGAGATCGTAATATGTAAGGGAACGCACTTACGTCAAATGAAAATGAAAATTATTTTTTTAAACTGATGAAGTTACTCGTTAGTTCTCTAAATATAATTTTTGGAAGTTTACTGTTAATTTACAGAATACATGTAATTGAAGTAATCAATGCTACTGTTTAAAAATATAGTTTGTAAATATATATTGTATAAATTAGATTCATGTAAGTACCAGTCTGGGAAACAATTTTCAAATGTTATAATATATTATTTTGATTACATTTTTATAAACTTTTTATTAATAGTAAAAACTTCTGGCAGAATATTTTTTATGTATTTTTCTATACATTTGTTATCAATTTTGCTTCTTTCTGTTTTTCATATTTTTTAAAATATTACTAGACTGTACCTGGGAATTTTACACATTTATAGAAAATATTAAAGTGTAAATGAGCTTCTATTTTTTTAATTATATTATCAAAAATCTGAATTTGCATAAAAATGAGCTTGATTACTGGAATTATTAAAATTTACAATTATTAATTATTCTAATTATTAAGTAATATATTTTACATATATTTTAAGTTAAGTAATATATTTTACACATATTTTTTTATAATAATTAAGATCTGTTTATACGTGATAAATAATTAAAATTTAAATGTAAATTACAAGCCTGCGACGTATAATTATTGATAGATATCGATAATGAATGTCATTACATATACATCTTTTTTAGTACAGATTATCGTCAACGTAATTATTGAAATATCACGTAACAAAAAGTTCGAAAATGCTTTGTTAACACTATCAGTAGAACTACCAACGATTAACACATAAAATTTACATCAGAGAAAATTTACACATTAAAGTAAAAAAGAAAAGATAGAAAAACTTTATAATAGTATACAACCCTTTATTCATATATTGTATATATAAAAATCATTTAAATCTCCAAAAATACACTATTTTACATCTATAAAATTTCCAACAAAAATTACAAATTGGTCATTTTGAGCATTTTGGTAAATTTAATGTTAAGAAATTATAAAACAAAAATATAAAACGGGGATAAGATAATAGTACTGTTTTTAAAGAAAAGAATTAATTACGAATATTGATACTAAAAGCAAGGTAATTAGATAAAACTGCGACAAAATTTAATCAACCACAAATTCAATAATCAATATCGATCTTGTAACGAAAGTCACGCGATACTTTGAAATAGAAACCTACACTGCTGTTTTAATTTAAACGTATCTGGTCAGTCAAAGGTAGTTCAACAAACGACAGGCGGTACAAAACAGCACGTTTACATCATACACATACTTTCACGTTATATCCATATTTTTGTTGTAACTTATGAATAAGCTATTTATGAACTTTTCATTACGTATTTCAATTTCATTCTTATCTATAAAAAAGCTGATAAAATTTATATGAAAAAAATAAAGAGACCCTCTTGTATAGTACTTCACTTATATTACCTCGTTCTTATAATTATATTTATATATCTATATTTACCTTGAAACTGAGTGAGAGTATCGGCTCGCAAACGGTATCGAGGAATTTGTTCTTCTAGTAGACTGATGATTTCAACTTCTGGTAGCTCACCTCCGCTGCAGACCTCTACAATTACAGATTTACATATTATTATTATTATTATTATTTCACTAAACTACTAAAAACTACTAAAAGTAATAAAATTAATAATTTTGATAACTATGTTAAACGTTAAATTAGTTATAAGAAATTGCCTCAAAATTTTACCTCCGATTTACTGTACAATCAGCATATTGTACTTACTACATGTTACAAGTGAATTTCTGATAAAATTGAATAATTAATTATTAGAACAATATAATTTTTGATAATTGCTAACATACGTATATCGAATTTTTCAATATTTTGTTCATATGAACTTGTGAAATTTATATCTACATAATATATATATATAATTATTATATCTATATGTAAAATAATTTTTTATATTATTATTATATTATATTATTTTTTATATTATACTATATCTATATTATAATAATTTTTTATTATATTATTAATTTTTATAGTTTCTACAAAATGTTTCCTTGAAAGTCTGCGTTTTACACGCGTTTTATAACCAGTTTAGAAAATGATCTCCATAATATTTTCTCTCAAAAAATAATTGTTATAATGAAGCTGGAAAGTGTCTGTTTTCTATACGATCTTTTTAATTTCCCGTGTTTTGTTTATCGAAGCGTGGATACGTACGTGTCTCACAGAGAGAGGATTAATATTGTAATGATCTAATATAAGATCTAATATGCTACATTTAATTGATATAGTATTACTAGGAAAAGTGTTCTCAAATTTTTCTTATTATAAATTATTCATTTGAAAGATTCTAGACTCATTCGATAAAAAAGAAACTTTATCTTGACTAATTATCAATTATCAATTAAGTTTATTAATCCATTTAATGAGTGTAGCAGCATATATAAATAAAATAAATTAAACTGCATTGTAATGAAACAATTTTTAATGTTGAACCATTGCCATGAGAAACACTGCTGTAATCGATTCTATTGCATACTGTCAAGCTAAATTAACTAGAAGTACAAAGCCACTTATATCAATATTCAATCTGATAGACAGCTATGCCTGCTGACAATAATGCAGGTAATTAATATATAAGTGATAATAGAGCGAACGATTTCTTTCTTCGGTCATTCTTTGATCGTATACCCAGCAACATTTTCTTTCCAATACGATTTAATAACTGGAATAGAAAAAAATTTTTTAATTTTGTCTTTTTTTTTAGTGGAATTAATACTGGTAAGTGAATAACTGGATCTCTCTAAGTAAATGAATTAAATAAATTTAAGACAGATTTTACATACATGCAATTTCTTCTTATAAATTCAAAAAAATGTTTCTTCATTATGTATGATGTTTGAATATAACTGTATATCTCTTTTGGTTCAAAAAAATTTTTAAATTTTAACTAAATCAGAAAATTTCAATTATTTTTTTGAAAACACTTGAAAAATTTGTGGCGTCTATCGTTGTGAATTATGTTCTTTTTTTTGTCAAAATTATTACTAGGATCAATAAGTTTTTATATAAATATTATTCTTGATAAATATTTATTATAAAATTTTTTATTGCATGATTAGTCTTATGAGTAAACCTGTTATTATTTCTATGTGAACGAAATTATTAATAAAAGTAATTAATTTCTTTTAATGAAGTTAAATGTAAAAGATTCAAAATTAGAAGTAGAATAATTTTTGTTCATAAGCAGCTTATGATAAACTTCTTTTGATTTTTTTACTGTGAGTATTTAAGATATTTATATATATATTTGAAGATAATTATATATTTTATTGAAAGACAATTATTTATTTTATTGAAAGATTGACAATGCCAATGTAAATATATAATTGTTTGCATTATTTATATTAGGCCATATAAGGTGTATAGTAACTAATTACTAACAAAAATGAAACATGAAATACAATTCACATTATTAAAATTAAAATATAATATA